CATCTGCTATTCCGGACTCGGCTAACGCCTCGTCCGGAAACAGCAATGATTCGTCCTGAAAAACTTCATTTTAGGTACTTGTGACAAAAATAACTATTTTGTCATACGCTCCCAAAAACAGCTATTTTACGGACTCATTTAAGTCCGTAAAATGCTTCTTTTTAGGATTTTTTTTTTCTTTCTAAATGCACCTCTATGATTTCAAAATTAAAGGAAATTTTGCAAATTTTAGCGTTCTGTAGAATTCTAAAAAGCGTATGACAAAAAATAGTGTTTGTCACACGTACCTAACGAAGTTTTTCAGGACTCATCTGCTATTCCAGACTCGGCTAACGCCTTGTCCGGAAACAGCAAGGATTCGTCCTGAAAAACTTCATTTCTTGAAAATATGAAAAGGTAAATGTGGAAATTCAACTTCCTTATTTTTGATTTCTCTTTCAAATTGTAATATTTTGTAGAAAGTGTTAGGTATCTTTTGTTGATTCATTACATATTAGTTTAATAGCTATTTATATAACAAGTACATAAAGTAAGGCTTTATTGTACGAATAATTTTATGGCCGAGCGAGCTTGCGAGCGAGGCTATTAAATAATGAGTCAATAAAGCTTGTTTATGTAAGCGTTATATACGTGATTTTATGTACGAGTACGACGGGTTTTCTGTTAAAAACTAAAAAAAGTCCAATGAAAAAAGTAAAATTCGCATAGGTATACCGGTTTCACCTTGCCAGGTTGTCAGGACCTGTTTCACCTTGGCAGGTTGTCAGGACCTATTTCACCTTGTCAGGTAGTCCAGGTAGGCAATAAAGTAGCAATTTTACTAGTACAATAAAGTGCTACTTTATTGACGCAAAACTATTCTATAAATAGCACTTTATTGGTCAATCGGACATAAAAAAATTTGTTGTTAACCTTTTTAAAACGCATTATGAAAATTGCAAAATCTCTAAATTACAACAGGAAAAATTGATCTGACAACATTTTTCAGTCACCTTCGAATTTTCCAGGTAATTACATAGATATTTGATTAATTCTGTGACAAATTGTCAACGGGATATTTTCAGTGTTGCCGATTTTAATAAACATTAAAATGCCAATAACTTTCTTAAGAATGCCACCATTTTTTAAATTATTTTTCTGGGGTTCCTTGAAGGGTCCCCTACTACGTAGTGGAGAGGTTTTACGGTATCTACAATATAGATCTGTTCTCACAGACATCACATACCTATCAGAGCGAATTTCATTGGTTATAAACTATCAGAAAACTAGTTTCTGGCCATAGGCGCCGGAACCATGGGGGCAATGGGGGCTTGAGCCCCCATTGTGAATTTCCTATGGGGGCGGAGCCCCCATAGTGATTTTGGTATTGTATGTAGTGGGTGTAATGGGTAGGCACAGAAATATATTGTTCCTGTTCCTAACTATTCATTTTCATATCAAACTTGTGTGTTTATTGTTTTTGTTGTTTTTGCTATACCTACCTACTTCAACAAACATTTTGAATATTTTGTTGTGTTTATTATTTCCTTTCTGTTCGTTTTCACGTTCTACTATAAATTCTTATCAAAATTTGTTCAAATGGCCGCATCCCTGCCATTAGAAGTCCCATAAATACCGCGAAAAGACCCAAAAATTTCGCGCCTGTGGCGCTTTCCCTCTTGCAGCACATACGGCGGTGCTGCAAGCAAGGATTACTTCCTGCAAATTTCGCCTCGCCTCAAGGCAAAATCCTGGCTACGCCAATGGTGCTGCTAAAGCCGAATATAGCCGAGCTGTCGAAGATGCACGAATTTTAATCATATACAGGGACCTGCAGGGACAATCAATGATCTAGCGTACCGATCCTGCAGTGAAATTGGTATCTGCCAACTGGTCCCATTTAGGTCTATGTATCTAGTATCCTAGTCCTGTCTGTCTAATTGATTCTACTTATTTTAATTTTTGGAGCCCGAGCCCCCATAATTTTGAAATTCCGGCGCCTATGTTTTTGGCGATTTGCACCAATCAAAAACACTCCGAATGGTTTGTGATTTCTGTGAGAACAGACCTCATGTAATAAGTAAACGTACGATATACGCTTCTAAAAAAATGAAGTTACTTTTTTTGTCTTACTCTCTTAAGCGATAGCCTAAAATTCATTGTATATCATATTGATCTTTAACCATTTTGACAAATCAATTTGAGAAGGGGGGCGCCAGAATTGAACTTTGCCTCGGCATAAACTACCTATTGGACCGGCCCTGTTACGGACAAACCTGCTTTTTGAAGCGTCCCAGTGTCTGCATATAGTGTCTTTAGAGCAGAGTCGGCGCGTGCCACGCCCAAAAACGATTATTTTGAGCTTTCAAAACAAATTTTCTGTACTACCCACATTTTATTTGACATACAAAGTTTTTGGATTTCTTATTCTCCTTTTCCTCAATCGTCAATTATTTGTAAAGAAGATAAACAAATTGAGAGAACGCGTTACTTTCATAGTAACTAGTAACGCGTTACTTCTATATAAACGCGTTATTTTCATAGTAACGCGCTACTTTCATAGTAACTCGTTACTTTAACAAAATAACGATCTGCAGTTACTTCAGAATAGTAACGTCGTTACAGCTACTTATCAATCAATCTGAAAAATAACGAAGTTACCAAGTAACGCGTTACTTTCAGTAACTCGTTAAAGTAACTATTTTTTGTCGTTACTCCCAGCTCTGCCCTAATGAAACGAACTTCATGAGGGTTCATACTTTTAACAACCTATATTATTATTTTAGTTATTCAGTTAGGAAATCGTTCCGTTTACTAGAAGCTAAGATGACCTTATAGTTATTTATGTATCAAGGGTACTAAGTAGATGATTATGCCCTGAGGGCGACAGTCTTACAAAGCTGAGGGCCTCTGGCCCAATGGTTCGTAAGTCGCCCGAGGGTATATATATCTATTAGTACCCGTGGTGCATACAAACTTTTATGTCATACCAGTTGGTTTTGAATAATAACTATCTGGGAAAAAAGTGTCACTTCGCAAATTGTCATCAGTGTGCAAACATCATCATTTTTTGACAAAAATAATATGTTTATAAGCGTAAATTTATATTTTGTTAATAAAGAGTAAGTTAATTGAAAACTGTTTTTTGCGTCTTTATGCCCGCGCGGGCCATAATGTGTACTTTATGCCCGCACGGGCATAAAGTAATGAATTATGTAGATGGTATCTAAGGTATAAAAACACAATAATGTATTGGTATGACATAAAATATTTAATAGGAATAGTTATAGAGAGAAGATCGAAACGGGTAAAAAATACACCAATGAGTAATGACCGATCCATCCGACATTCTAATATCATTTATTAAAAGTATAGCCCAGGAAACGAAGGTGTTACTAAACAAAATCGATGGTAGTCGGGTTTTATTTTTTTCCGATAGATTTTGGAGTGCTGATTATGAGTCCGGCATATTCCCAAAAGAAATTCACCGGGATCACCCCGTTTACGGCCCCTAAAGGGGGTAGTTTTTTTTTTTTGCAAAGCCCTTCCAGTGCGTTGTACACAAAAAAACGTTTATGGTTAATTATAGAGGATTATATTTCCTACAATTTCTTCAGCGACAGCATACGTCCATCACCTACCCTATAGCGGGGGTGGCGCCCCAAAGTTGACTACTTTTGAAAAAGCATGTTTCTGCAAACCAATTTTTTTTCCGTCAATACAAATTGGAATCGAACTGAAAACCTGCGGCTATTTATCACAGATGTATGACTGATTTTTGGTATATTTTTCATAGATGGGTTATTGCCTCAGAGGAATAAAAAACAATAGAAGCCGTTATTTACATTTTGACGAGGTGCCAGTGAGAAAGCATTGTCTAAACGATCAAGTCTAAACGCCATCCTAGACGAATCAACATGTTGCCAATTATATTTTGGAAAAAACCTTTATTGGACTTCTTGTCGAATAAATAGGGAAAAAATGCCTTTTTAAATTTAATAAAAGTGCAAATAAACTGAGTAACTAGAAAAACTCCTCAATGCAGATTTTTGATAATTTCAAGTTGTTTGTTTTAGTAAAAAAGGAGCTTAGAAAATATTGTTATTATTCAAGTATCCTTATTTATTTTTCAACGTGCCAACATCGCATAGTAAAACTGCGTCAAAGCTGACAGTTAACGTCAGTTTGATTGTGCCTTGTTGCCTTTCGTTAGAAAGCATCGTGAAATCGTTTTTGTGAGGTTTTTCTGATATTTAATGTTTGGAAAGTGAATTATTTGTGTCTTTTAAGACTACTGGCAATATGGTTAGACAGTGTCAAATGTGTGAAAAATTGGATTATTTGAACCCGGAAATTTCATTTCATAGGTAAGTAGGGGGTTATATTATGATAGCAAAGCAGTGGCGTAGAATAGGATATAATGTACCTACTTCGCCAGAAAAATATCAAATTTGTTCCAAGGTTGAGGAAATTAGTTACCAGTTGTTAATTTTAATAATTTTTTCTATGAACTTCTATAGGAAAAATCCAAGCAGAATAATAATAATCCTTATGCTTGATTAAAGTTAAATATGCGTCTTTGTAGGATTCCAACAAATCCAGAGTGCAGGCGTATATGGATTTGCCTTCTAGGATTAGAAAATAAGCGACTACCCAAAATCGCTGATGTGTGCTCAGATCATTTTAACCTCAATGATAATGCACTAGGCCTAATGGATGTAGATATTTGAAATCTGGTTCGGATTCTTCACCTGTTTCCAATGTTTTCAATGCTTCAAAGTAAGTTGGTTATTTAATATTTGATATAATTTCTACATATTAGCTAGGTACATTTATTTCCAGTTCAGACCTCAGCTCAGACTCTTCAGTCACAGAGTCTCCAGTCTCCTCCAAAAACAAAAGTAGTGTAAGTAGATGTTGGTTTGTAATAACAAAAAATATTGAATTATTGCTTGTATTATGCAGACTACAGAAAATGATTTTATAATCCAAAAAGAAGATACAAAATATTATCCTGATTAGAAAGGTTATGTGATTTTAACTAGTTCAGTTTCCAAGCTCAAAATTCAATATTTGTCAGATAGGGCTAAAACACTTATTAAATCATTTTAGATTCCAAGGACTGAGTGTACCCCATGTATCCTGATGTTCCTCCAGGCCTGTGGTTGAAATCGGGAGAGTCATGTGTTTGACAACAAAGTTGTTTCTACAACAAATACTGAAGACTGTATAGTCTCATAACCAGACGTAGGGACCCCTTTTTTTGTATTATTTTGTAATGTAACATGAATTTGATTGAGCTAACTCTAACACTGTTGTATTTATTTCATTTTAGATAGTAGACCTAATTCCTAAGATCTGTATCAAAAAGGTTTATTGATCAAAAGTTCCCCAGAATCTGCTTTGTTTTCATGTTTCTGCTAATGAAGCAGAACATTTTTTTTTAATTTGCTTAATTTTTGTCACTAAATAGAAATATTTTCACCATTTAACCTTCCTTCCGCACGCCTATGATCACTCAGGTGGAGTAAAGTAGTTGGAAAGCTTTCTAACAAAGCGGCGTTGAAATCCTTTAGAAAAAATACATTTTTCCCTAAATTTAAGGAAATTTCGGCTTAGAATGGGCGTTGTCAATGGCATACAAACAATAACGTATTTATTATTGGTATGCTCACCCTAGAGGTTATTGCGCATTTTTAAAATACGGGATTTCATCCCCTAAAAAACATACCTTTATATTATCTGGTGCTCAATTTTTGACACTCTTCGTTAAATTCAGAACACGCTTTTTAGCGAACGGTGCATTAACAAAGGCTACGGGAATTTTCAATTCTTGACAACCCTTCGTTAAGCACTTCAGGCATCTTCCCTTATAAGCGAATTAGTGCGGCGGTCGGACCTCATTTTTGTTCACTAACCCAATATTTTGGTATTACCCAAACGAGAATAATACCACAATATCAACATATGTTTCTACATACCAAAATGAATATGACGACTTTTTCTTGTGGTCGAGACCAAAATTATAGGTAAAAAACATAAAAAAAACGAAAAAAAATAATTTCATCAAAAACTGCAGAATTTCATAGGCTTCATTTTTTGTCGATTATTGGCCTATTTTGAAAAATAAATTGGCTAGAGCGTTCTAAACGCGGCAATGCACACCGCTGCAGCGGTTGAAAAGCGTGCCGTTTTGCGCCTTTCGCGACGAACTCTTCGGAAATTTTTACATATATTATTAATATTTTCAGCAGCTTTGAGTGCTATGACTTGTACTATTGTGAAATATGCATACTTATGTATTATTATGAGATATTTGGTAAAAATGTTTTAGATTTAAATAATAGAAAAAACATCTAGGTTACATATGTTATGTAATATAAAATATATAAATCTAGCTATTTCAAATCAACGCTACTCTAATGGTTTTGAAATATCTTCTTCTTCCTCCTCCTCTTCTAAATTTGGACTATTCGTACAGCTCATCGAACACTTGCACTCAAGTGAACAAAACATACCCTCAGTTTTACACACACATTTGGTAGTGTTGCAATTTTTCTCAGTGCAAAACAAACTAATCAATTTTCTGATTTCGTCCGGAATGGGGGGTTTCGTTGAAAATTTGGGAATTAACATATCCTTGTTTTTCATCCAACCATAATCTTGGGGATCCATTTCTTCTCTCATTCCATTATGACTAGATTTCAACTTGTAAAGAGTTAATGGGTATAAATATAATTGTATTAGTGCTTACCTTTGTGCATGCAATTTAAAAGAATCTTCTGTTGGAGGAAGTTCTTTAGCTGATTTCTTGGTATCTTCTTTCGTCAGCATCAGTCGAATTTCGTCAAGATTTTCACATTTTTCTTTGCGGTAAAGGTGGACAATTAGCTTCCTCCCAATATTTATGCTGTTTTCTATAATCTTTCCAAAATCTTGTAGGTCTATATTTTTTCGATGAAAAAGTTGCCAGGCCGATTTTTTCCCTATTTTGAAGAAAGCATTTGTCGTGTCACACCCAGTTAAAGCGTGAAAAGCTGGCAAGCCGCCACAAATAGATTTACCTAATACCTCTGCTAATAAATGAACTGGGATAAATCTTTTTTTATTTGTTGATGTTATACTGTGCCCTTTTCCCATGAATATTTTGCAGGAGTTTAATTGTCGATCATTCCAGTAGTAATATAGAAGTAATATCAAAACATCAGTATCATCAGACTTCACAACTATTTTATTAGCTGCCATTTCATTGGTCATATGAAAGAGAATGCGTGTATCTGCTTCTTCGTGATTACATTCAAGCAAGTGATCGTTAGTTATAGTTATAGCGGAGTTTAGTAGAGTAACAAGGGGGATTCTAGAGCGGAAGTGACGTCACACTCGTTCTGGGGCCCGCGCCCGTCATCAGAGAAGCCCCAAATTGAAGGGGCCTAACCCAGGTGGGCCTGTGCCCCATTTCGTGGCCCCATTTTTTTCGTGGGCCCCATTTTTTGGCAAGCCCCAATTTAAAGAAGCCTAACCCAAGTGACGTCAGCAAAGGGGGGCCCCATGCGTGTCCCCGCTGCTAGACCCGTGGCCCCATTTTTTCGTGGGCCCCATTTTTTGGCAAGCCCCAATTTAAAGAGGCCTAACCTAAGTAGCAAGCCCCAATTTGAATAGACCTAACCCAAGTGACGATAGCAAAGGGGCCCCATGCGTGTCCCCGCTGCTAGACCCGTGGCCCCATTTTTTTCGGGGGCCCCATTTACATGAACTCATAACCTGAAATGAGATACTTTATACGAGATGACAGGTACGTGCGACGTTGTCGAAACTAATAATGTGCGACGTTGCCAATAAAATTTCCCTAAATCTAGGGAAAAATCGGAAAGGGGCCTTGTCTCCGCTGCTAGACCCGCGGCCCCATTATCTGTCGTCGTATATGGAACCAATACAGGCCCCCAAATTTTGAGGCGCACGTAGCCTAGAATTCATAACCTGAAATTTGATGTCCCATATCTCATGCTGGTAACCTGAAATTTGTACAACGTACCTAGAACTCATAACCTGAAATTTGATACCGCGTATCTCGTGCTGGTAACCTCAAATTTGGTACCCCATAACTCGTTACTTGTAACAAGATACATCGTACAATCAGACCTTGTCTCCGCTGCTAGATTCACGGCCCCCCATTATCCGTAGTCGTATATGAAACCAATATAACCTAAAACTCATAACCTGAAATTTGATACCCCATATATCATACTGGTAATTTGGTACCCCATAACTCGTGACTTGTAATAAGATACATCGTACTGCCCCCCCCCCCCCCAATTTTCCGTGGCCCCATTTTTTTTTTCTATAATAAAGTCTGGCCACAATTAGACAATAATTTATGTCTCGTTTTACCTACCAATTATTCCAATGCAACATCATCATCATCATCATCATCATCATCATTCGAAAACCAAAGAAATTTGGGCCCCATTTTTTGGCAAGCCCCAAATATTATTTTTAAAATAATTATAATTTCTACCGTTCTCATAAACAACAAGAACAACATGTTATGCGAACTTGCTTAATCCTGTTATCACACGGAAGCCGCATTTCCTGCGACGATAACGAAACGCAGCTGGCTGGCCTGGTACTTGTTATTCATTTTCAAATTTTAGTTAGATTTTTACGTCCCTAGGTGACACAACGTTTTTCTTCAGTGCTCATCCAGATCGAATTTTTTCAACGAAAACCTAATTCAAAATTGGGCGTTGTCACATTTATAATTGATTGTGTGTATTTACTGCTAAAAACTATGTAAGTAATTTTTTTCATTATTCTTAAAGACCCTGATAATAATACATTGTTCTATTTTTAGTTTAATAATAGAATCAAAATTTAGCCACTTTGAGGTTTGAGCTCTTGAAACGTGTCTTTGAATTTTGAAATTGTAAGTATATTATTTTCAGTTTATAACATTTATTACATTTTTATATTGTTAATTAGACACAACAACACCTCAAAGACAACTCGAAGACAGCTCCAAGACAACTCCGAGACAGCTTAACAACACCTTTAACACCTCGAAGACAGCTCCAAGACACCTTCGAGACAGCTTAACAACACCTTTAACACCTCAAAGACAACTCGAAGACAGCTCCAAGACAACTCCGAGACAGCTAAACAACACCTTTAACACCTCAAAGACAACTCGAAGACAGCTCCAAGACAACTCTGAGACAGCTCAACAACAAAAACAACAACAACAACAATGGCTGATGAACATTTTAAACAAATTCTAAATGTAAGTGTTGAAATTATTGCTGTTTTTGAAAAAGCTTATGAGGAAATTGTCCGAGATTCAAATGATGCGGAAAAACGTATCTGGATTAAACATGTAAATACTTCAATTAGGCAAATTCTTAAATTCAATGCGAAAAATGTTTTACCAATAGGAACTCAAAGAAAATTACAAACTCAATTAGGTCATTTGAAAAAAATTCGTATTTTGATTAAGAAAGAATTAGTTAGGGAACCTTTTAAAGCGGGTACCAGGTCCAGACCGCTTTTAAAAGTAGGATGAGGACGGGAATAATCATAAATTTAGTTCACAAAGATGTTTTAGAATTTTTCAAAGATGCTTTTTTTATGTTCAAAAATAGAATCGTAAACATACTCAAGTCCCATCCTATGTTAAAAGTGAACTGCAATTTGCAATTTTCTTTGAGTTCCAATAGGTAAAATAGTTTTGTTTAATTTAAGAATTTAGTTAAGGAGCTTAGCGTACTGTAAACAATGAATTTGAAATTGAAAATTGAATTAAAAAAATATTATTGTACTCTAGGTATTAAGTTGATTTGAATGTACATAAGATTTTTTGATATAAGAGTTGAGTTAAGGAGTTTATTTTTATTAGGTTTAGCGTACCCATACTTTCTGTAAACAATAAAATTGAAATTGAAAATTGAATTAAAAAATATTATTGTACTCTAGGTATTAAGTTGATTTGAAATTGCTAACAATAAATTTCTGAACTGAATCCTTATGTTTGTTTTATTGGTACCTGGAAATCCTCAATTAAAACAAAATCAAAAATAAGCTAAAACTATTTATTTAAATCAGTTAGTAATTTGGTTTTATAATATCGCATATATTCACTTAAACAGTAACTTTCTATGTTAGTATCCTTATAATTACATACATTTGATATATCATCAAGACTCTCACACTGATTTAACAATAATTGGTTAACATGAATTAAAAAATTATCATAATATTTGAGAAAATCAACTTGCTTTAATTTTTCTATCCACGTAGAAATAAATAACGATCCATCATACATAGTTCACGCACATTGTTTCTTGTTAAGTACAAATTTTGCAAGTCTTTCGTCACAGAAATTATTTTGGATTCATCCGATGTGGAGACGTCGCTAACAATAATATTTTTGCAGCAGATAAATCGAAGATGACTCATTTCCAAATGAGTATCAAAAAATCCATTCAAAAGCCAGTTGAGATTCACCATAAATTGATTTCATTTTTCTAATTTAAAAAATATCCAGCCGCTATCACTTATATGGACTCTAACACACGGCTGGAAATTTCCTTTTTCAGAAGTACTTAGACCAACTTCCAACTTGAGTCCACTCTCCTCACACGGAAAGATTGAGCTGAGAAGAAACCAACCTCCATTATCATTTTCACTAACTTCTTTTTCTGGTTGTTGTTGTTGTTGTTGTTGAACTTCACTATTTAAATTTAAAAGTTTTTCACCTCGTTTTTGCGGTTTGGCTGCAGCAGCTTTTTCATACATTTTTAATAATTGATCGAGCTGTTCGTTTTCATAATCAGTCAACATCTTAATGCACGTACACTCTTAACTGCTGCTATTTGATTACTGAAAAGTTTCATGGAACAATTTCGGCAATTTAAGGTTTAGAGGTAATGGTAATGGTGGTGGTGGTGGGAGACAAGTACCTGCGCACATTATTCATAACTTATTTCAAGCATCTATCCAACTGTTGAATTGTTTGTCAAAACCAAGCCATTTTACAAACACTTTATTGCCCTTTTTACGTAGCACTTTCTCTACAAGGTACACGCCAAGGTTCTTTTATCGGTCTATCATCCATGTCTTTCAAAAGATACGTTACAGGATCACTAATTTTAACTTGATTGATTTTAAACAATTCAGTTGTCCAATTGGGTATGTAACCTTTTTCAAAAACATGTTTCGCTTTACTTATGCGTACAACATCACCTACACAAAATTTTGCTCGACCGGTTGCTATCTTAATGTGGTTATAGACTGTATTCAATAACGTTTTTTCATGTTTTTTAGTAACATCACAAGGTTTCATTTTAGTTAAACTATGCTTTTGCTCATTATAGGTTTTAATAATATTGGACAGAACGTCAATCCATTTATAGGTTCCGTTTAGGCTGAAATATTTAAACAGTTTTTCCTTTATAGTTCGAATAGAACGCTTAACAATTGCAGCTTTTTTAATACTAAAAGTACTATAATGATTAATGTTATATTGTTTCATCAAACGCTGAAAATTGGAGTTGTAAAATTCTGTTCCTTGGTCTGAGTTTAAATGTTTGGGGCATCGTTTACTCTCTCGTAAGATAGCAGCGAAAGCTTCAGTGACGTCATCAGCCGACTTTGATTTCAATGGTTTTGCCCACACATACTTTGAAAAACAATCAATAACCATGAGAATATACTTGAAATTTTTATTTGCTTTCATATAAGTATGCATTTGGGCTAGGTCAGCTTGCCATAAATCATCGATACCTTTAATAACTGTTCGACGTCTAGGAAAGTTTTTTCTAATCGGTTTGTGTAGCTCATTTACTAGTTGAACCTTTTCTTTCGACATCCTATCGATGAATGAATGACTGCTGCGTAAAAACCAGCTCAAAGTTCACTCTTTATCGATTTAACAGTATTATTGGTCTTCTTCTCAGATGGTTTTTTCCCTGTGGCGCTTTTTGAGATAAAATCTTTAATTTTTTCATCAATTATTTGAATTAACTGCCCTTTAGGAACCAGATCGCCATCATTTATAGCCTTGGAAGACTTTACTATTCTCTTGTCACCAATACTTATATATGAAGGCGTTATATTAAACTACTTATGCTGCTCCTCTAAAGCTAATATTTTCGTTAGATGTTTTTTATACTGCTCCTCTAAAGCTACTATTTTAGAGCCTAATTTTGACAATTGACTATCTACATAGTCTTTGGTGGTAGCGTCACTTTTCTCCGTAGGCAATTTCAAGTTGCAAATTTTCAAATGCTGCACATCAATATCTCCATCTTGTGTGTGAGGAAGCGAAGACGATGGTCTAGTGTAAGGAAGTTTTATTCTCTTAAATGCATCTGAATGACGACCGAATTTATCGAGACTCATTTTAGAACTAACACTAAAATTTCATACCATCTTTAATTTATAACTTTTGCTTCTCGAAGTTCCTCAATAATCGATAAAATTTCATTATTATGTGATGTATTTCCAGCTTGTTTAGATGCATATAAAAGTCTTAATCTATCCACCAGTTCATTAACATCATCCCAATAGACGTATTCTGCAGGCTTGTCACTATACAACATTTTATCAAAACCGCTGCCTTTAAAGGAGGATGATGCTGATAATGATCTTATTTTTGATTCTGGTCCCAATAATGGTTTGACAAGTTGTGTATATTTAAAACCGCCATTCCCTTTCAGTCTACCAACGCTCGTGTTACCAACTCTGTATACATTTGTTTTTTCTAGTATTCTTTTATATTCATCAAGATCATTGTTTGTATATTGTCCTGGTTCTTTATAAAAAAATAGATTATAAAGCCCTGAAGTTGCATTAAATTCTTCTTTATCAATATAAAGCTTTCCAGTTTTTTGATTGAAATCCATTATTTTACTTCCTAACATCCATCTAGAAGTTATAGGATCATATTTCGGACCTTGATTTACATCAATTTTGGGGGAATCATTAAGATAATTTGAAACATATTCAGAAACATTATCTGGATATTGGCTTAAATATTTATCATCAACCATGCTACTGTCAATAAGTGATGAGTCGTAATTATTCCCATCATCATCGTCAATGTCTTCAAAATCTCGTTCATCTTTACTGGTAACATCATAGGTAGGTAGAAAATCCACTTCACGTTTTGTCTCTTGTAACCGTTTATTTTCAAAATCTTGACTCTTAACATTTTTATAGGGTACCCGTACTTTTTGTTATTGTTTTACAGGTTGCAGCTCTTGTTTTGATTCAAGTTTTTTCTGTTCCACCAATTGTTTCAGAGGCGTCGTGATAGGTTTGAAAATTTTATTTAGAGTATCATCTTCCTCAGATCGTCCTAATTTTAAGGCTTGATATTTTTTCCGAACATCGTTGGCTAATTGTAGAATTTTTTGTTTACGTACAACGTCCTCATTGTTTAAAGGTTTCATTGTAACTAGAGTATAGTACTAATTATTTAGTTTTATATACTCATCAAATCCCTTACGATATCTACCATTATTCAAGTCAAAATCTTTTACAATCACCAAACTACTAAATTTTTCATCATTCCAGCATTTGAAACACACTTCTTTGAAATTATCATAGATCATATCAGGTGATACGTGTTCATCAAAGATATGTTTCAAGTTTACATCAACCTGTTTAAATATTATTAATATGTTGCAGTTATCTCGTATCAGCTGCTTCGGTATTTTAGAATACGTCTGACAAAGATATGTAACATCAATGTTTTTATGACGTCCCATGGAAAAATACTTGCGAATTTTATCTTGCTTATCGCATGACACATCGTCAAATATAAATATTGAATTATTTTGCGCTTCCTCCGGATCAATAATCATATCATTATCTCTAAATGGAAAATATCCAACACCTTTTACACTTTTTAGAACATCTTCCAATAACTTGTACTTTGGTTGATACAATGATTTCGAATACACGTAGATATTTTCAAAACGTAATCCATTCTGATTGAAAAGCAGGGTTAGAAGAGCATTGGTTTTCCCACATCCACTAGGCCCACAAAATATGGCGCGAAAACAATTTGGTAACAATTTACTATGTCTTCTAACATCCTTAGAAGTTTCGATGAAATCTAAATTTTCTACTGACAATTTTAAATTCTGCGGTATAAACTGCATTTTGGAAATGAGATGGCAAGTATCAAAACTGCCTATTTATAGAAAATAGATAGGTCGATCATATATAAAGGTATGAAAGATGATATATAGTCATTATTATGCTAACCTTTGAACAGCATACAGGTTCTGGTCTAGTGAATTCAATAATTAATAAGTTACCTGTTGAAATTCACGTTCCTGGTTATCAGTTTTGTGGCCCAGGTACAAAGTTAAAAAAACGTTTAGCGCGTGGTGATAAAGGAATTAATTTGTTGGACGCTGCCTGTAAGCAACACGATATAAAGTATTCGGAGAATTCTTCAATATCAGACAGACATAAAGCAGATTTAGAGTTGGAAAATCGTGCTTGGGAACGAGTGAAGGCAAACGATTCCAGTTTAGGTGAAAAGTCTGCAGCTTGGTTCATTACAAATACGGTGAAAGTGAAACGAAAATTGGGAATGGGTTGTGCTGCTGGATCATTTAGAAAACATATACTGAAACCTATCAGAAATCATTTGAAGAAATCTTTCAAAGTCGATCCGGGAAACAACAAATCTCTAAAGAAAGCTTCCTTAGCAGCTTTACGTGTAGCTCGAGCAGCTCTTAAAAAAGCTGGTGGACGTAAAAAAGTACGGGTACCTCGTATAATTCCCTTTGAATCTAAAACTGGCGGAATTATTCCACTGTTACCTCTGTTTGCTGGGCTTTCCGCATTGGGCAGTCTTGCTGGAGGCGCATCTGCAATAGCTAAAACTGTTATAGAAGCCCGAAATGCACGGCAAAAGTTACAAGAGAATGGTCAATCGAAAGCTACGGAAGAAATTGGTAAAAAAGGTGCGGGACTTTACTTGAGAAAAACTACACGAGGATTTGGTTTATACTTGAAAAAACAACAGTCAAAAAACTACCAATAAAGCTACCTAATAGATCCCTTTATGACTATGAGATAACAAAGTTTATAAATAAATTAAAAGTACCATATTTTAAAGGAGTTTTTATGCGAGATACTCTACCTAAAAAGCCAAAATTTAATGAGAGTGCTGTAGTGAACTTGAACTCTAATAA